GTATAGGATAGATAAATTCTTCTGTTGAAGTTGGCGCACTCTGTCACCTTTATCCAGTCAGATATCTAGATGTATTTATTTAGTTGAAGCTAGCCTAATCAATCTTTTTATGTATAGGTTCGCATCTGTCAATCTATCCATATTTTTCTATGAACCAATTAATTAATTAATTAATCTGCCAATCAATCAGCCAATCTATCTACTCACCTGAATTCGATGAATTACTTGAACGGATGGATTATTAGAGATTAAGAATGACAGCAGGAAGAATAACTAAAAATATCAAAACAAGGACAACACGAAATCTTATGTAAGTATTTTATAAATGAAATTTATATGAATTATTGTGAAAACAGAGTCAGATTTGAATATTAGTCAGAAATGCTTGGGGTAATTCTTAACTATTTATTCGTAGCCATGTTCAGCTATGGGCAAATCTATTCAAGGAATTCGGCTAACTAGTTTACTCATAATCTCAACGATCCGTGATCTAAAAATGGATGGAGCAAATAGACTCGTCGAGTATTCCTTGGTAAATTAAGTCACGTTCGAAGTCTTTAATGTGTCTAACTCTTCGCTAGATAAAACTTTTATAGTAAAATAACATTTAAATAACTAATATTAACTTGACTTACCCCATTCCATTAAATGAGATGTAAAGGATAAGGATTTCATTTTTCGCTTATGAGTAGGTTTTCGAGACTCAGCTCTTATACAACTATGTAATCATTCAAAAAGTACTGATAGTCTAGAACAATATTCAATACGAGAATTCCGTATAAATCTTACAACTAACAATCCGAACCTCATCTTACCTTATCATACAGTTGATTTGGACAACTATTTTTTCTCTTCAAGCCTCCATCTCTTAAAGATTCTAAGGTATAATTCTCATAACTATAAATCACAAATGATATCAGGCCTCTTTCCTACCCATCCTGTTGCAAACATCTTTCAAAATATAATGTAAAGTTAGGGGGACCTTCATTTCGAATGAAAGTACATGATGAAGAGATTCGTTTGTCGATCTCATCAGATGAG